TATTATTTAAATATGAAATGGTATATATTAAAGTAATTAACTAACTATTATCTATGAAATATATTACATGATGATCATGCCAGGGCTATTAAATAAAACATCTTTCGTCGTTTTCCTACAATTATAAAAAAAAACAAATTTAAACTGGCCTCAAATGGCTCGTTTTGGTCAAAAATCAAAGATGAGAAGCAAATGACTCATTTTTGCATACAAAATCTCAAGCAAAAATGAGATCCATTGGATCTCATTCTGTATAAATGAGTACCAATGAGGTTAGAATGAGATTCAAATATTATCCAAATGTAAATGAATTGAACATACCCTAAATAAAAGCTTTTTAGTGCTTATAAACAAGTTGTTTAAGTCATAATCATCATTTTAGTTCTACATATTACAATAAGAAATCGAAAAACTGATATTTTAATATATAATATAATATTGCGTTATAGTATTATTAAAATGTATTACAAATGTTTTGAATAATAACATTATTCTCTCCTTGTAGGAAATATTTTTCTAAGCGTATATGCAACTTATTCGAAACGATTTAAAAAAATGCTAATTATAACGACCTATAGGTCGCTGTTAATATATTTAAAGATTTATTTTAAAAGATATATATAATAGCTCAAAAAATATTCTCGTTTATTTTAGTTTAATTGTTCAAGATATTAAGTGCGAACAGTGAATGCAATGTTTCTGATATTAACGCATATTTTTAAACAAATAAAAGAATGGGATGAACGAAATTACGGTAACCAAATAAAAATTTGGAAAATCAAGCAATATTATTAATAATTATTTTTGTATTAGTGAAAACAACAACAAACCTACCAATTGTGGGTTCACCAGTACAAGTTATTGCACTAACGGTTGCTTACATTATATTCGTCCTCAAAATCGGACCCTACCTGATGAGAAATCGTGAACCATTTAATGTGAAATTGTTAATGCAAGTCTATAATGTTTTTCAAGTTTTTATAAACCTTTACATGGGAGTAAGGGTAAGTTAAATAAAGTTGACTTTTACGCATTAGTGAAACTATATCACCTGTTAGGCTACCGTTTTTCTTTGGGTCCCCGATCAGTATAACCCTGGTTGCATAACAAGCTTACCAGATACACATAGATTGAAGCCACTTGAAGCCCATTTGACTTACCTATATTGTTTCATTAAAATTACAGACTATATGGACACAATATTCTTTGTGTTGCGTAAAAGCTTTAAACAGATAACTTTTCTCCACGTTTATCATCATGTTCTAATGGTTCTTTCATCAACTATGGTTATACATTATTATGGTACTGGTGGCCATCACAACGTTCTCGGAAATCTCAACGCATTTATACATGTTATTATGTATAGTTATTATTTTTTGAGTGCTTCAAATGCAAACATTAAAACTTCTAAGTGGAAGCGGTTTATTACTACAGCTCAAATTGTCCAATTCATTATAATAATACTCCATCAGTTATGGCCATTACTTATCGTTAAAGGATGTACGTATCCATTGACTCTTCTTTTTTTAAGTTTATCACAGGCGACAATAATGCTCATATTATTTAGTAACTTCTACATTAAAACCTACGTAAAGAAAAGTTCTATCAGTGAAAATAAGCACATAAAAACTTTGTAAGCACATTAAATATTTTAAAAATAGATGGATCTAAAAAATAAATGCGAAAAATTAAATAAATAAATGATGATATATATTTTATTTAAAAATTTAGTATGAACTAATTTTGACATTCAATAGAGAATGTTTTCGATGTTATATGCCATAATTCTGGAAGAGACTTATTTATCTCAGTGGCTTCGTAATTAAAAAAATGTTCATATATGCAGTAAATTACTCGGTGATCTATAAGCGATCTATCAGCTAACGATGCGCTTTGAAAAATGCTCTGTTTGATACTATTTATGAACAGGAAACATAATATAATCATTCTTCTTCGAATAGAAAGAAAATCAAAATATCATCGTCGATACTGTTCACACCACAGCTTTAATGGTCTGGATGGCTTTTAGCTTTTTGTTCCATATGTTGTATTGTCGAAATGTCATCCTTTTGTAAGGTAAGTTTTTAATCTTTATGTTTTCTCTAAATCGTGAAATTTAACACATGTACTCTGAAGAATTTTTAACGAACTTTTCGTAAGCCAAGTTTTGTGTGAGCAAATCGATAATGACCTTAACCTTGGATATAAAAATATATAAAAAAATAAAAAAATAAATACATAAAAAAATTATTTTTTTTTTACAGCTATGTATATTTTTTCAAGCCTGGTAGTTAAAAGTGGACTTAAACTATATAGAATTAAGACCAGTAACCAGTTAAATACGAACACCATACAATTTTGATGAAATTAAAAGGATGGGTCGCAACTGATCTGAGATATGCTGCTGAATACATGTCACTAATACTCTGACTTTGAAACAAAAATTTCAGTCTCTATCCTGCCAGAAAAATTTGGAGTTGGGATCTCCAGGACGTGACAGGTACGTCTTTCACGCTGTGATATGGGCGATATAGGCAACCAGAATAATACAATCTTGTACAATTCGTTAAGGCTCTATGATCGAAGAGGAGTTAATGGTACCATGATAAAAAAAAGTACAACTCGTCACATAAATATCGCTATTCCTATAGATTGTCAGATGACCATAAAAACAAGCAAATCCAATAGAATAAAATCAAGGATTATTATGAAATGTTGTGTTTTACTGATGGACATTGAACACCACAATGTTTTTTATTTCTTGGGTTTATATTAAAAATTTTGAATTGCACATAAATAAGACTGATTCATTGATGCAAACCCCGATTTATAAAGTGTTTAGGAGTATAAAAGACTTCATCATCGGGGTGGCAAATGATTTATGGACTAATTACAAATTTTGTAAGGTTTCCAAAATCTTCGATCAAACAGGAATGACAGCAGTTCGTATTATTATTGAACTACTGACTGGGTAGTGTGCTATTATACCGCTGCTTCAATGGCAAAAGACCAGATCGTTTCAGTTTAAAATATAGCATTGCAGAAGCAAAATATCACGCTTATAAAAATTTATAGAGAACGGAATAAATAATTATCAGAAGATACCAGATCTGGAGATTATGGTAAGTGTTGGAGTATATCCATCAAGCTGGACAAGCTTTTAGTGAATTACCAAACTTGTATGGAATAACGCATTCTTTATGTGAAATACTACAATTTTTAGGTTATAAAATCTGGCCTTTTCCATTAAATAAATTATTCAATTCATGCAACTGCAGAGAACACACTTGTAGTTAAAAAAGTGTGTTCCAAAAAAGCTTAAAAAGAAAAATTCTTTCTTAACATAGGTAAATCACCGTCGTCCAATGTTATACCCCAGCAGAGAATAGAAAGAACCTGGAAGAGAAAGAAGAGTTCTACAGCCAATTTTAGATCTAACACTGCTAGAAGCGAATCGCAACGATATTATGCTTTTAATGCGAGCTTTGAATGCGCAGCTGAGACCAGACAATGCAAATTACGAACATATAATGGGCAAGCATGCATCTGAACTTAAAAGATCGAATGAAGTCAGATTTCTCTTCTTCCTCTTCCCTCACAAATCCTGTCATAAGGTCTTCTGGATATTGCCACGAAGTGACACTGCTATTCAAATTGACAGCATTTCTATCACCTACAAAATCTTTAAGGTAGTGAATGATGTCCGCTATAAGCGTAGCATAGATGTTAGTAATGAACACCATATTTACATATCATAGCTGAAATCAAGCTAAAGGAGAAGAAGTATCCTTTTCTTCTCATGGTAATCAAGCTGTAAAGCAATCAAAAAAAATTTAGCGTATCCAGATTAAATAATCACGCCCTTCGGACTAATGTGACACAAAAAATCAATAAAATGCACAACACCAGAGCTACCTCAAATATTAATGATACCTGGCGTAGTGTTAAATCCCAACTACAAAACATTTGTGTCGAAACCCTGGAGTATATGAACAAAGAAGCGAAAGAATGGCTCTGAGAAGAACTTTGGCAACTAATTGATGACCGCAGAAATTAATAATAATAATAATAATTTTATCACAGTAAGTACAAAAAATATTAAAATAAACTTGCTCTCTTAATCAAATTTTATTTGCACAGCATTTTGTAAAATGTATATGATATACATATATCATAAAAACAACATCGCTGTTTTATCAGAAAGTCAAGCTATGCAGTCTGCGATATCAGCCACAACTAACTCTTACTTGCTGAAACAAAACAAGAGAAGCTCAACAACTTTGAGTAGAGGTCACTGTATATATCGGGGCGTAGTTCCGAGAAATCGGAATATTACGAAAAATAAAAAAATTTATGAACTAGCTAGAAGACGAACTGTTATGCTATTGAAGAGGATACTCAAAGAGCTATTAAAATAGTGCTTCAAATACAAAAGAGCGGCAACTATTTTTTGTTGTACATGCCCTGCACTTGGAAACAAAGAACAGCTAGACTGGGCAAACTGCTAGACTGTATTATGAGACTATATTGTTAATTTTATAAAAGTTGAAAACGTTTAGCTGTAATATGTAAATGTAGAAATTTCTTAAAACCATTAAAATGCTCATCAAAAATGTTGACTTTAAATCGGCTCTCATATGACAGTCGTAACATCAGTTTATGTCAAGATATTGATTCAGATATGCCTCTGATACTAATATTCGTATAAAAATATATATTAATCCAGATGAAATAATTATTTAAAAACAGTAACTTATTACGAACTTATTAGTAAACACTGCAATTATTTCTTAATTATTAATATTTACTCATAAAAAATAAATTATATTTTTATATTTACCTATGATTTATATTATTTTTTTAAAATACGGAAACCATTTTAAAACACAACTTTTTAAAATTCCAATTATGCAAACTTATTACGAAGGTCGCTGAATGCATATAACAATGGTATTTAATGTGAAATTATATAGATACAATTTCAGTATACTTTAGTTAAATTAATCAGACGCATTCTTTCGCAAATAGTGCACTGAGTTCTATTTCATTCTTCAACCTAGGAAGTCTGACAGTGAGTGCAATGTTTCTAATATTAACGCATATTTTTAAACAAATAAAAGAATGGGATGAACGACATTACGGTAACCAAATAAAAATTTGGAAAATCAAGCAAAATTATTAATAATTATTTTTGTATTAGTGAAAACAACAACAAACATACCAATTGTAGGCTCACCAGTAAAAGTTATTGCAGTAACGGTTGCTTACATTCTATTCGTCCTCAAAATCGGACCCTACCTCATGAGAAATCGTGAACCATTTAATGTGAAATTGTTAATGCAAGTCTATAATGTTTTCCAGGTTCTTGTAAATCTTTACATGGGAGTGATGGTAAATTAAATAAAAATGAGTTTAGAGCAATAATGAAACGATATTATTTTTTCAGGGTTTTAAGCTTCTGTGGGTACCAGATCAACATAGTTTTGGTTGCATAACAAGCTTACCAGTTACACATAGATTGAAATCCTTCGAACTCTTTTTATGTTATTTATATTTTTTAGTGAAAATTATAGATTATATGGACACAATTTTCTTCGTGTTGCGAAAAAGCTTTAAACAAATAACTTTCCTACATGTTTATCATCATGTTCTAATGGTTTTGGTAGGAGTTATGGTGTCACGATATTACGGCACTGGTGGTCATCAACTTGTTACTGGGGATTTGAATGCATTTATACATGTTATTATGTACAGTTATTATTTTTTCAGTGCTTTAAATCCAAATATTAAAACATCTAAGTGGAAGCGGTTTATTACTACAGCTCAAATTATCCAGTTCATTTTAATAATAATCCATCAGTTATGGGCTTTATTTATCAGTAAGGGATGCACTTATCCCAAGATTTTGCTATATTTAAATTTATCACAGGCAATGATAATGATTATATTATTTAGTAATTTTTATATTAAAACTTATATAAGAAGAAAATCTAACATCAAAGAAGATCGACATCTAAAATCTACGTAAACTGTTGGAAATTATAAAAATACAAATATCTGAAAAAGTAGATATCAATTATTTAACTATATAAATTAAATAAACTTTGCTTAAAAATTTAAAACAAAGCGTATTAATTATTATTTACGCCCTTTGAATTAAATAGTTGAACTATTTTTGTTAACTGAGTTACAAAACCAATATATGGGATTGGCAGGAGGTGTTATTCACACCGATTTTACACCCACAATAATCAGATAATATGTAAATATTATCTATAATTAACACAAAGAAATAAATTTTCGATAATCAATCTGGTATGTTGCTAATAAATACTATATTAATTTACTAGAAGATATATATATATGTTCACACGTACCAAATATTAGAATTCTCTTTTATTGTCGCACTTTTGGCTTTATTAAATCTTGAAATCAGTTTAACAGACGAACTATACAAAAAAGAATAGAGTACGTACCAGTTTCATGGCATTTATGGTCTACTTACCAAAAGTTCGTAGATTCACTATCTTTGAAACGGGGTCTCTAAACTTTTAAAATAATAACTTTGCTTTACCTATAAAATTCAAGAAGCAAAATATTATATTGAAAAAACTTTTACTTCCTCTTCGAAAAATTGATTCAAGAACAAATTAAAACAAAAACTTTCATTTCTCTTTGAGGACTTGGTTCAAAAGTAAATTACGCGCTGAGATTATAAATATGTATACACTGAGAAATGTTTAAACACTAATTATATGTCTAGAAACTTGTTGTCAATTAGATTTATGCTGAGCTATAGTCATAACAGTGCATTTTCCAATAACTATCTATAAATTAAATTACGAAAGAATTTTTAATGTATATTTTTTTAAGTAGGTATGCCAAATGCATATATCTATGAACTTAAGAGCCCTTTTAATATGCAAGCACAATGTAAAAGTAGACAAAAGAATAAAGTAATTGGAACTAAAATGCATTCTTGTATTGTATAATATATTAGCATGTATAGCTTAGTATCAAAATACTTTTTAGTTGCGATTTGTAGCTTCAGGAAATATGACATTCTATCGGTGAAGTCTTCTTAATCTGCTTTTAATGTGTATCTTGAACAATATATAAAATGAAATAACTAAAGAAACGATTATTTATTTTTTTTTTACATTTTCAGTTCCACTGTTCAACCACTGGAGAATTCACCGATTATTAACTTAAATGATTTTCGTACTTAAAATGGGATCTTAAGACATCATAAACCTTTGAAATTGTTATTGCAAATAAATAATTCATCTCAAGTTGTTGCAAGCTTATACATAGTAAGAAGAATAATATAAATATTATGAATACAATTGCTTGCTTGGCCTTACACCTATATAGATGTTACAATGTGGACTTGGTAACATTGTGCAAAAACCACTTGAAATTCATGCTTATATATACTAAGTGATCGAAATGATTGATTTTATGGATATAATTTTCTTCGCATTACGTAAAGGTTTTAGACAAATCACTTTCCTGCACGTTTATCATCATGCAAGTGGTTCTTTCAACATCTATTATGGTTCTGGTGGACACCATATGTTACTTTAGACAGTAAATTCTTTTGTGGTTATATGATTATATATACTTACTACTTAGTCAATCGTATTAATCTAAAGATTAAAAATTCAATTTGGAAAGAACTCCTTACTGTGGTTTTGTTATAATAATTGTTCATCAGCTGTTGGCTTTAATAATGAGTAGGAGATCCACATATCCTTTGATATAAAAATTTTTTAATTTAAAATTAAATGAATTTTATCAAAAATTATATTGTGAAAATATCTATTAATAATAATAAAAAAACAATTTTAAAATGTATATAAATTATGGTATGAAATAATATGAATTATACATTGGATTTTATATGGCAAGTTTCAAATTCGTAATTCGACTTTGTCTGGGTTTCGAGATATCGATTTAAATAAGCCAAAAGTTGTTCCAGTGAATAGTGGAAACATACAGCTCCCTGTTACGGTAACAGAGATAATATGCTGTAAATATTAAGGAAATTTTCGAAACTAGAGATCGAGATCGAAAACAAATATATAGCAAACATATATATTTTTTCAATATAATATTTATTGTCGCTCGCCAATTATTCTAGAACATTAACTAATCTATTGCAGAGAACCATAATATAATAATTATTTAATACTTTAAAAATATGTCTATGTATATGCTTAAATTAAATAAATTCCTTCATATTTCTTTATATAATACGATATATACAATATTTATAAAATAAAAAAAATAAAACAAACTAAAGACTAACAAAAAAATGCATATATTACTTGCATTACATATGCTGCACGCATACATATGCTGCACGCATGGCCCATATATGCACTATGTGTAGATATGCATCCAAATCTGTTTGAATTGAATAACAAAAAATTTTAATATTATAAAAAAAATAAAAATAGTATATTTTGCTACTTTTGTAATATAAAGGCAAGGAATTCATGCCAAACTTACACAATATTAAGTAAAATAGATTTTCAATATGCATAAACGTACACAATGCGCATATGTTATGTACAAAAAGTCAAGAATATAGAATTTCTACGTTCGAATTTATGCAGTTTGAAATATGTTCATAAATATGAACCTCCATAAATAGTAGTGAGCCGAGTGTACTTCTGCTGCAACTGCACTTTGAACCGTGCAAATACACTTCAGCTTTCGCTTTTATAAGTAAACTTACAGTAACATAAGTGGAACAGTACTTTCTGATTATAGCATGAGTACATGGTATGTATTTTTTAACAAATCCCAAAGTAATACTTATTATAAAACAATTTTGGAGAATTTGAAATAATTAAAGATATTAAGACTTCATTTTTTTATCAACATATCCATGGTTGTAGTCAAAGTTAAGCAATAGAGCAAGACCAATACAATCAGACCTCCACTATATGTAACAAATTTTATCATTAATAGTACTTTATAATGAGAAGAAAGAAACCCAAAGATTGATTGGGTTAATTCCTCAAATCTACCCAAAAGATTGTCATTTTATCTTAGATGTGGCTTAACAAACTTCTCCGAAAGTGATGATTCTATAAGCTGATTTCGTGTATAGGTACAGATATCACATATTATCTTTTTGTAGTTAGCAATTTTACATTATACATCACTTGACAAACACTGACCACATTAAAATTAGCAAAACTTATCACAAAAAAGGGGATTCTATAGTTAAGTATATTTCGTGCATTACGTATGTCTATCTGAGTGAAATATTTTGCATTTGATATTGCATCTCTAAATGCAAATTTCGATTTTATGAGAATTAAAACCGGCTGATCTGGTAGTATTTAGAATATACGTTGGTTGGGTGTTCAAAAATGATCTTTGGAAATATATGTATAATTGCGAAGATATATGAACAAACAGGATCTGTAACAGCTATGCTAGCGACTAAATACTGTCGAAAAGTAAGTATATTAAAAAATTTTACTTCTGTTAGTGAAGCGTCAAAAAAGTTAGAAATTAATCCAATACACAAAGCGCTCAGTATTTGAGGTAGATTATAAAGTATTTTGTATTTGAGTTTACATCTCTAAATTCTAAGTCAGATCCAGTAAAAACTGAAGTTGACTGATCTACTAGTATGTAGGTAGAACATGTGGTACTGGGGTTTTGAATATGAACTTTAAGATTATAATTTTTTTTATTATTGCATTTTCTTCTTTGACAAGACCCATTTTTTGCTTGATGAATGTGTCAACAAACCAAACTGTAGCATCTGGGACAGTACAAACTGCGAGTAACTATTAAAAAACGATTGAATTCATAGTTGATTTATTGGTTGCAGTGGCAGGCCATCAGATAACTTTTCATGTGCATTTTTTTTTAACTTTATTTTATTAAATACAAACTATTCTAAGCATTAATAATAGGTAGTACTTATGGCAATAACAATACTTACACGTACATCAAATTACGATTCTTCAACATTTTGCTACTATATTCCTCGCAAAAACCTCTTGGATTGAAAAAAATAGATTTAATCCAACACGTTCATCCCGTTGAATTTAGTTAATTTAATAGGTTATTCATCTTTATCGATGAACAGTCTGTTAAGCTGCCAATGAAATACCTTCTTAGAAACCTATATCTTCTGGAAGCCAAAACCGGGTATTCACAGAGTATGCCAAATGGTACGGCACTTACACACTATGTGAGGTGTGGTTGGTGTATTATTAATTATCTCCGTAAATAGTATTCTTCACCCAACATAATACTAGTGACACCAATTGTTTATATATATATTTACATCAAATCAAAGTATATCGAACCTTATCAGTACCAAATATGCTTACCGGAAATGTAGCAATATTTCAAAATAAAGCAATATATTTACAAAATTTTAAAATTCTAAACAGATACATTAAAAGCAGTGCATTTTCAGCATTTACAGATTTTTTTGTATATTTTATTTCATTTATTTCGTTTTTTTTGCTTTTCATTATTCTGTTTGTGCACGTAAAAACATGCACGTACGTGTATACCTACATGCGTTGAAAATTGTTGCATTTGTAGTCAAATATGATTTTGCTGTCTTAAGAATGAAAAATAAAACATGTTCCCGTCCTTTCCCCAAATTTCATGTACATCAAATGCAATGCTGAAGTGCACAGAAAGTAGATTTTCACAGACCCAACATTGCGTATGAGCAATATTTAATTTACATGCACTTTACGTGTTACTGGCACGCATTATGTGCATTTGCTTAACTTTGTTTCAGAATTTTCATTGTGAAAGCAGGGAATTGCATTTCGTTTTTGTTTTTCTTTCCTAGTCTAATATCGAAATCCGTATTTTAAATAAAACATAACGCCAGTAAACTACGTCAAAGTTAATTTAGTCTTTAAATAAACCATTAATTTTTTTTTTGGATTAGTGCACTACGAAACTTACAAATGTAAATACAAATTTATTCTTCACTTCAATATGCAATACCTCATCAAAGGTTAATTATAAATTA